GTCAGGCTATTCCAGGGTGAGTATCAAGGCTCTGACATTCCCATTCTCTCATTTAGATGTTATATTGATATACAGGGAAGGATTCCTCATAGACTAACCTGTATTATTTGTTTAGAGCTTTCCAGACACAACTGGTCCCTTCATCAGCATTTACTTCTGAAAATTGTCTTGAGGAATCCTTCACTGTAAACAATTTAATCTAACCAATGAACATTTTCAGAACTACAGTTTAATGTCTCATTGTGCAATTTTCCAATTTTAATGAAATTCTATGTGTCTAATTGTGTTCATTTTTTGATTAATCTTGCATAATTATCAAGACCCTGTAGTTGTCATTTTCTCATTTAGATGTAATATTGATATTGTACTTATCATGTGTTAAAGGTTAAGTGTACCAGAACAGACTCCATTCACAGCCGTACTCAAGTTTGCTGCAGAAGAGGTGATACATTTTAACATTTATCTGCTATTGGATAACACTCATACTCCTTATTGTATATCCCTATGAGGGTGTTTAAAGCAATTGTACACTAAGACAATTAAACAACTATGAATTAATTATTTCATTACTCTATCATTGTTAGTTTATTTATGACCACGTTATTTATATTTCTTTATGCTTTTTTAATTCTTAGAACTGTAGAAGTATTACATTCAGCTAGTTCAGTTCATTATACATTTATTCCAATTATATTGCAGTAGAAAGTTACAAAGGTCGCTGCCTAGCGCAATGTGCACAGTAAAATGTGCTAGTGTGGTCCATTTATTTCAGTTTCATGATAACGTAACTAATGTGTTGTATGTTTCAGTTCAAGGTACCAGCAGCCACAAGTGCAATTATCACAAATGATGGCATAGGAATCAACCCAGCACAAAATGCAGGTTAGAATGATATCTTATGTTTTTGGTACTTGGCATTTTGGAATATGGCATTTTACTGATACTTACTGATCAAGCATTAAAGTTGATAGTAAACCAAATATACTAGATATTGTCTTTCTAATCCGATTCGCATCATTTTCATTTCTCTCGGTATATATTGTATCTGTTTCATTTCTTTTCGAAGTTGCTTTCTGAAATGATTTTTAAACATTTTTTGAACTCTAATTCAAGCTTTCATTTGACATACATGCCCTAGATATAAAATTGGTACTCATTAATCAAACTTGTATGTCAGTGGTTTGCTTCTCTCTGACTCAGTATGTTATGTTGTATCTGTTTCATTTCATTACCTAAAATGTCTCTGAAACTTGAAATGTGTCCTTGTGGTGTATGTATTTCAGTTAACCGATCACCTTCCTCTTTTTCAGGAAATGTATTTTTGAAACATGGATCTGAACTGCGTTTAATTCCACGAGACAGAGTTGGCCAATCAGCACACACAATAGAATCAACAGGCTCTCCGATACAGACTATATGACCCACTTGCAATATGTAGATTAGAGACACAATCTTCAAAGAGAATCAAGATTTTATAATTTATTATATACATGTTGATATACAAAATATCAATAACGCAGACCAGTATACATAAGGCTAGAGCAAATAATTGTGTTTTTAGCATATTCTCCCTCCAAAAATGTATGCGATATAAAACTGATTTAATTAAATAAATCTAAGCTAAATTAAGTTCAATTAAAAAATTAAGTTTAGACAATTTAATTTGGAATATAAGGAAAATAAAAAGCTTCATCCTTCTTCAGGAGCAAACAATGCTAAACATACAAATTAAATACTCTAGCCTTACACGAGAATTTTATGTGTATTGAATCTACGTGCAGACATAGTTGGATGTGAATTAAACATCATTTATCATGATAACAGGGGTTTTCTCTGAATCAAAGCGATCAACATTCTAAAATGGTCAAAAAATAAAAGATTCTTCCAATATTTTTTTGAATTAAGAAAATTAATTAATTAATTAATGTCAATTAATATAATTACATTTTGAAATAAGTTTTTGTTTCCTCTTAGTAAGATCTTCTACCTGTCTTGATTTTAGTTCTTTTATATGAGTAGGCCCAAAAAAAATTCCTTTCATAAGACATTATGTTCACAGGTTTAGTTTTAAACCTATGAATTATATTTTTCCATAAAATATTTAGCATGGCAGTTGTCTCTCATGGCTGGCTATGCCCAAAGTGCTGATTAATCTGTTATCCATTTAATGAATTGGTGTTTTGGGATATTGCAGGGTACAAATATTTTAGAACAATACAACAGACAAGAAAGTACAAGTCTCGGTTTGGAGAACAGTCTCCTGGGCTCATAATTTTTTTATGTAAAATATAGAAAAATCCCCTAAATTATGGCTATTCAAAAGAGGACATTTAAATATACAATATGTAAAAATATCAAAATTGTCCAAAGCAGGCGTAACGTGCAGTAGACTGATGAACTCTAAACTGAGAATAGCCTTTTGGTATTTAATTTGAGATTTATTGGAGTGGTCAAAATCTTCCAAGATTGATTACTAACAGCCAAGGCAATACTTGTGATATGTTTGTAATCCATGATTATATTTGAAACTGAAAATAATTTCCCCCACTCATCCAGGATTGACCAGTTTATGCTTATGTGTATGGGTTGAAGAGTAACATGCTAGATTTACATGAAATAGTTAAGTTTCCAAGTTAAACATATACTGTAGAGTATCATTTCTCATATTATCTCATGATCGGAGTCATTTGGCGCATACATGTAGATTGTGAAACCACCCCATGTGCAATTTCAGTCTTAACTAAAGTGATATATTCTAAAACGTATATATTATGTATACTTATGCATGTGAAATATAAAATAAACTTGTATGATAAATATGAAATTACAGCAACTTTGTTGAGTGTTGCCTAATTATGTCACTAGCAGGAGTGGTGACATTGTTATAGTCTCCAACTTTTTGTGAACGGTGTTCGACCTCTGTAACAGAGACTTGAAGCAAGACAAACAGCTTAAATTGCTTAAAATATAGCAGAGATTATTATCAGCATGTTACCTAAAACTACTAGCTATGCCTAGTTGTAGCTTCTAATGCAAGCAATTTTTTTTCTGCAACCATGTCTTAAATATATGATCTGAGACACATTGTAATCATGTTTTAAGTAAGTTACAAGTTTTCTTTTAGTTTTAAAGTATAAGTTTTCTTTTCACGTTAGATCATGGTTTTGGGCTATATGCGGTTTGTTTTTCTTGACTGGTATGCATTTCGCTTTTGCTTTATCTTGCTAAGTTCCATTACAACTTTTGGTCCTTTCCCTTTGGCACTAGTGCTTATATATTTACTCAATTGACCTTTTTCCATATAAATGGAAAATAGATGGCATCATGGGTAATGGTAGGGCTCAATAAGATGCCAACTCAATGGCAAGAGTCACTTAATTTCTTGATTTAACCAGAACAACGGCAACGCCAAAGCGTAGCGAATCCCATCGAACAGAAATGACTGGCATTTTTACAAACGAAATATATAGCAAATATCATGAAATAACACACATAAGAAAGGCCACCATTTTCAAAATGGTTGCTCAATAGCCAAGTTGTCATCAGAGGAAGTAATATGCTTTTTTTTAGTATTCACATACCAAATATGCACAAAATAACTTCACTACTTTTCGAGTAAAATACTTTAAAATGGTGGCCATTTTTCAAAATGGCCTCATTCTACCAAAAGTGTCATTAGGCAGTGTGCCGTGCTTATAGTATTCACATACCAAATATGAACAAAATCGCTCCACCACTTTTCGAGTAACAGTAAAATATGTTAAAATGGCGGCCATTTTTTAAAATGGCCACCTTCTACCAAAAGTGTCATTAGACAGTGTGCCATGCTTATATTATTCACATACCAATTATGAACAAAATCGCTCCACTACTTTTCGAGTTATAGTAAAATACGTTAATATGGCGGCCATTTTTCAAAATGGCCGCCTTCTACCGAAAGTGTCATTTGACAGTGTGCCATGCTTATAGTATTCACAAACCAAATATGAACAAAATCGCTCCACTACTTTTTGAGTAAAATATGTTAAAATGGCGGCCATTTTTCAAAATGGCGGCCATTTTTCAAAATGGCTGCCTCCTATCAAAAGTGTCACTAGACAGTGAGCCATGCTTATGGTTTTCTCATACCAAATATGAACAAAATCGCTCCACTACTTCTTGAGTTACAGTAAAAATCGTAAAATAATGAGTAAAGGCCGCCATTTTTCAAGATGGCTGCCATGTGCTTCTTAAATATCTACATTTCAAGCTTTATCAATGTCCTATATCATTATTTTACATTTAAAACACAATGCTATTACAGTTTTACATATTGCAACTAAATTACTGTAAAATCGGCACTAAAATGGCCGCCATTTTTAAATGAGCGGCCATTTTGAAAATCAGCTTTCAAACAGAACTCCTACCCCCATAGGGTATATGTGTACAAAATATGAACAAAATCAGGCAAACGGTATTTGAGTTATTGCCCGGACGGACGGACGTACATACGGACGGACGTACATACGGACGGACGGACGGACTGACGGACGTACGTACGTATGGACGGACGGACGGAGGCGTTCCCTATATCCCTCCAAACTTCGTTCGATGGGATAACAAGCTATTCCATTTGGATCAACTTAAAACACTATTGGAATATTACTATATGATATTATTGACATGTGAATTGTGATTTCACATTAGAATTGTGATCCTTGTAAGAGTAAATGGACTTTTAAAGGTTTTTCAGCATTGTGTCAATGGGATTTGGCCTGACCTTTTTTTAGACAACCAGAAAATCATTAGAATTTGAATAAAGGTAAATAATAGTGCAAATCAAAGTTGTTTTGATAGAAAATTACACACAGAATGCTAATATGCCATCAAATTCAAGGAAATGTTAGCCCTCAATGGCTAAAAATGCAGATCTCCTAAAATCTCAATAAAAACGAAACTTTAACAAGATTTCAGAGCTAAATGTATATGGAAAAAGGACCATTCAAGAAGAAACAGTTTCTAGATCAAGAAATATTTATTTGAATTAAGAATTCAGTATGTCATATTAACAGATGCAAAATGATAAAATAATGAAATAATATATATTAAAGGCAAGGATTGAAAAATAAAACCAATCCAAAATTAGATCTGAAATATCCAACTATCATAGTCCAGAAAGAGGCTGGCTGAGATCGTCTTGTGAATGAAGTCCATTTGTTATTTTATCACTATGGGAACTGATTATATCCAATGGGTCCCCCATTGCTGTGCCAAGATCCTGTAGCAGGAGTGGAGAGGGCCTGAAAACAAACAAAAATGGACTTAAGAGTTAAGACAACATGAGGTAAAACATGAGGTATAAGACCCCCTCCCCAAAAAAAAACCATAAGGTGCTAAAATCTCTGCTTCTGCTGTATAAGAGCCTCCAAAACATAAGGTTTTAGACCCTTCCATGTTACCCTTCCCAAACAAAATATCATATTATTAATCATTTTAAATCATCTATGGGCTGAATGCAGGCCCATAGCAGAAGGGTTCCCTTTTGACAACTTTGACCCAAAAATAGCCAAAATCACTTGAAAATACTCAGAGTGGTGAAAATTTGCATGATTTTGAAAGAACTCTCCTGGCTACGGACCTGAAATAAGTGGCTGTTTCTGCATTATCGTTTTCCATCCTCCTATGCATCGAAAACAAATCTTCAAACTTACACATATTATTTATATGTTAAATTCCTATGAAAAGGCTAAACTAGAACTGCAAAACAAGAGGACGTACATACCGTTCAGCTACATGTGGCCTGCTGGATTCCAGGTGGCGCTGAAATGACTTGCGATCATTGAGTATTGACCTGTCTCTCCCTAGTTGACGTGCAGCCTAAAAGCAGTAAACCCATTCTAAATTAAGGTTATTCATTGTCAATAAACATTCATTGTTATCGCATTGAACAGTACAGTAAAACCTCTCTTATGCAAACACCTGTGAGACTGGCCAAAAGTGTTCTGATTAGCAGGTGTTTACATTTCAAGGCTTTTTAATGTGAATCAATGAGAGATATTGGCAAATTTCAAGACTACGAAAAATGAATGGCACCAACAAAAATTTTAGACCTTCCTCTACAACATGTGAAAATATGAAAGGATTCCTGCAGGTAATAAGGGAAATATAGCCTGTTGCAACAGTTCACTTTTTTTGGACCACCCTGTATATGCAAAACATGTTCTACATATCACTACATAAGTGGACATAACAAAACATGATAAGGTGTAACTACCTGGCAATAATGTGTAACAGTTTTTTATAGATGCTGAGCACTAGTACCTTACAGTGGTCACAAAAAATGAATATAGCATAAGGCCCCAACTAAAAACATAAGGTCTAAATAAATGAATAGGAAACTATTCAAACATTGCAAGGCAAAGTGTGTCCGATGCCAGCCAATCAGAACACAGTATTAAGACATGGTAGAGAATATTTTGCAATAAAGAATTTAAGCCAAAGACTCAATGCATTGTGGAATGACCATTCCTTTAAGGCATTGTTTCCTAAATTAACACTCAATGCTGCACGTCTCTTGCAATTTTTGAAAAGCAACTCCTTCATTGAATGGTCATTTCACATTGCACTGAGTACAGGGCTTAAATCCTTAAGTATAGAACCCTGGATAAAAATGGGCCTAATAAATGGGATTGCAATATTCACCTGTTGAGAAGCTGCCAAGGCTCTTGCCTCGTTATCTCTCACTTGGTCCTCCATCTTCCTGATTGTTCTTGTATATTCACTTATCAGCTGCTCACACTACAAATACAGTAGGAAATAGCTTATCAGATTTGTAGCAATTACACATTTTTTGTATCCATATAGAAAATGGGCATTTCTTAAAATAATTTGATGTTCCTGATGGGTTTGGCCCTTAGTTTTAAAATATCTAAGCCACCCCATGTGAACAATCTCACAGGCCCCTTCAACTGTTCATATATTGAATTTTCATGTTTCATGTATTAACTTTCTATTGAAGAAAAAAATTTAAATAAATTCTATTCAATGTTATATTGTATATGAATTTGCTATAAATTGGCTAATTAGCCCTTTGCAAATTAGGAATGTGCATGTATAAATTAAATTGCATAGTTTTGAATATACATATACATTCAAGGAATGATCTCAACAATTAAACTATCTGCTCAACTCCCTGAACAGACCTAGATGCCATCTTTATTTGCTTGTGGACATACAGGTATTGTACTTAGATACAAAAATATACATTAAAACTTGTGTATAATGAACATTTTTTGATTAGCAAAGATGTTCATTATTGGTTGGTGTTCACTTTAGAGAGGGTAATTTATACAGAAGTCAGTAGAGTATGTGCGGAGGAAGGGTGTCCACTAGAGACAGGTGTTCACTAGATAGAGGTTTTCAGTAAGACAGGTTTTACTGTATAATAGTATAATCACCTGGACAACTTTATCTCTTGCTTCATTCAACATCGATGTGAGCTGTTCATTGCGGGATTTGTGTCGTGCTATCTCTGCTCTCAGACTGGTCACCTTCGCATCCAGCTTCTGCGTGATACTTTGGCACTCCTCCTTCCATCTGAGATAAACAAGAGAAATATTGATATATTTTTTAAATTTTTTTTATCATCATCTGAATTCAGAATTGTTCCCATAATTTGAATCAACTTTAAAGGAATGATGCCAAGACAAAATATAAAATCTCAGAAGTTTTTCTGGAATATCAAATACGGTATCAAAAAAGTTACAATTTGGGTCAAATATATAAGATGGTCACCCAAAAGCTAGAACTTAATATCTTCTAAAACAAGTAAAACCAATGAGCAATTTTCCTGGAATGGTGATTACAGAATATAAGCCAAAAAACTTTCACTAAAATTTCCCCTAAAAATTCACAAAATACTCTTAACAAATAAACAAACAACCTTCAAATATCAAAGCACTGGGAATTAGCATCTGGGTTTTGTTTATAAATAAATTGAACTCTTGTTTATGGGTCGCCATGTGTGATTTTGAAACAAAAATGTAACATTTTAAGGCAATTGCAGATAAAAACAAGTAAACTGCTTTTCACTCATGAGATTTCATGAAAAGATAACAGAATGTAGATCATAATTCAGTGATGTAAACTACACCCCCTGCAAAAGTTTGACAACTAGGCATCCTCTATATATATTAAAATTAAAATTGTATGTTTCTTCAATGCTTGTTTACATTTGGCAATTTCAACAAAATCATAAATATCACTTTCTGACTTATTGTAATTGGGAAGACTCAAACAGGCTTAATACACAATCCAATTGGGATAACCAGTTGCCAAACTTTTTGAGGGGGTGTATATGGGGGACAACAGATCATAAAGTGGTGCAAAACTGAAATACAGTACAGGCCCGTAGCCAGGAATTGCCAAGGGAAGGGGGGGGGGGGTCATTTTTTAAGAAAAAATCCAGGGGGGACTGGAAAAACTGCATGATTTTGTAAGACTTTTTGGCCAGGGGGGTTTGCTCGAATTTTGCGAATTTCAATAAGATCTTGGTCAACGACACACAGCACCTTAACCTCTATTACATCATAATTTTTGGGTTTATTTGATCTAATAAGCCAATGTAACAGACATTGTTACTTAGTATCCCATTTATCGCCTAAAAACACTTGACAAACATTTTCCAAAACATAAAATGCAATGAAATCAAAACATTTCACAAATGCCCGGGGATTTTAATTTCGCGAAGATTAATTTTCGCGATTTTATCACAACTAAATCGCACACGAAAAATACCGGGAGTACAGTATATGTATATTTAATGTCTACAATATTTTGTCATATAATACTTTGGAAAATATTAAAGTGCTCGGACACACATAAGCTGAGATAGGGATCATTTCGTTCAGTAAGGTTGTATTGACTTACATGGGGCTGTGCACCATTGACTTAACATGAGGATATCAGCAGATCCCAATAGAGGCCATTGGTTTCCATTGATTATCACAGAAATACCAAAAATACACTATGACCTGAATCGATTGCAAACTTCATAATTTCACAATACCACAAATGGTTTATCTCATCAAATGTGCAAATATGAAGTTTGCCATCGATTCAGGTCATACTTAAAATTAAAAGATTGTACATTTTTTCATCATTTTTTTCCCTACAAAATGGCTATAGAAAAATGCTCCAAAAACAACTTTTACACTTATCAAATATCATACAAGTTTGTAAAACCAAAGATTATACTATTATATTTCATTATGTAGTAACATATTTGGATAAGATGCAGGGATGCGTAGGATGTAAATGGATTTTGACAGACACAAAAATACTTCCTGGTTTGGAATCTATGCCTCTACACTTCATGGTTGAATTATGACCCTAATAAGTGGCCTATACATCAATACAGTGCTGAATATAGGTCAACAAGATACTAGTGTGCATATAAATGTAATAATTGAAGCAGAATACTCATTTTGAAAAATCAGATGAATTATTTTTTTCCCATGGGGAGATCCTTTGCTTCATATGTTTTTGTATCCCCACTATGCTACAGAGTTTTGGTCCTCGATAATACCAAAGACAAACCCCTTTAACACAAAACATCACCTAACACACTGTAAAAGGAGCAGTCTTTAACCCATGCCAAGACCATAAGTGAATGGGTGGGAAGCTGGCATCATGTACATGCAAAATTGTTAGTATATAAACTCGAATCAAACAATGAGTCGACATTCATTCTTTGAAACGAAAAAATGGTAAGCAAAGCATAATATATAATATTCTTTAATTTACATTAACATTTACATTGAAGCTCAACTTAGGATTATTGCTAATATTACTGAATGTTACACTGTGATGTTTCTGATGAAAGGTATTTTTATGATTTTCATACTTTTTAGACCTGGCTGGCTCTAGTTTTAGTTCTTGGGGCGACATTAGCAAGTAGGTTGCTTTATTCATAACATTGGAGTCAGTCGACTCATTCATAGAGTCGAATGGCTCATGTGTGTACCATTTAGAGATGAATTTGCTCTAAATGAAGAATTTATCATGAATGAATGGCAAGCAATGACTTCTCAAAATAAGATAATCAGATATCTTGTTAAGTTATTTTTAAAGATTTGTGAAACCATAAAAGATGTCAGGCTACTGTAAATGAACAGTGCATTTTTAAATTATAATCAATATTGACCATATCAAAACATTTTCCATGTTTACTAAACATGGATGGTATATATGATTAAAGCATGGGCTTTCAACTAGAATTGAAAGCCCATGGTTAAAGCTACCATTAGGAGAGAAATGGTATGGCAAGGAATATCCCTTTAAAAATTAGACCTCACTGTACCCGACAGAACAATAATTGTTCATTTTTAAAATTCAGATGCCCAGTTGAAGTTCTATGCAATTGGTGATTGGGGAGTTGACGATATAAACCAAATGAATGTTGCCAGGGCGATGTCAAACCACGCACAAGCTAACGGTCCTATTAATTTCATTATTTCAACTGGTGATAACTTTTACCCCAATGGCGTGTGGTCAGCTGATGACGAACAGTTTAGAACGAAGTGGAGGGACATCTATAACCTTCCAGGTATCTTTGACGCCTAATTTTCCTCGTTTGGAAGAAACCAAATTTGGTTTATTTAATTTGAATGGCCAATGAAAAATTAGGAAATATTTAATACTACTGAAAAGCACAAGTATTGAGCAAACAAAATGTAGCATTGTATGTGTAAAATATACATATGAAATTTCTTGTTAGGTATCTCCGAGTTGATATGGTATATCTCAGTTGGCAACCATGACTACGGAGGTTTGGGTAATGAATGGTTCCAAGTTGATTTTGGCAATGCGGAGTCCCAATGGCATCTCCCGGGTCTCTATTATGACTTCACAATGCAAGCTGGTAGCTCAAGTGTACATTTTGTAGCAATTGATACACAAGGTATTAGACAAAATCTCAATGACCGTGACAGCCAGATTGATTTTATTGCTGACCGGTTATCCACTTCAACTGGCGATTGGAAAATAGTATTTGGCCATCATCCCCCATATACCACCGGTGGCCACGCTCCTGGTTCTACAAGCATTCGAGATTATGTCGTACCATTAATGGAGGCCAACAATGTCGACATATTTCTCTCTGGGCATGATCACAACCTTGAGTACCTACGTAAGATTGACAACCGCGACATCGATTATGTAATCAGTGGCGCAGGTGGAAGAGGGCTCTACCTGAAGAATCCCTTAGCAGATGCTGAGTTAGAGATAACGGTTGGTATTGAGAGCGTGATGCACGAAGCTGACCATGGCTTTATGTATTTTGAAATCACCCCAACGCAGATCACAATGGACTTCATCAATGACCAAGGAAATCGGGTATACCAGCTCATAAGGAGTAAACCATGAAATAAACTGTCATCTAACATTTAAAGAAAATATTTGATGAATAAATCTAGAATTTAGAAAATGTAGAATGTAGTGTACTGTTTAAATGAAAACTGATGAGACCTTCAGCTTAAATACACATTCAGTAGCACAAAACAGCATACATATTACACCACAGTAATCGATCAATACCAAGCAGAACTATACAAATCAAAAGTCAAAAAGGAAATAATATCAGAATATCACACAGAATCCCATGAAATATACCAGGTTGATCAATAAGTTCAAAGAAAAAGAATTTTAGACAAACGTCTGATCCCGCGTCTGATGCCATTTGACTTCAAATAATATCTATATGCTGAGATTAACTATCCTTTTTTAATATTGTTATTATGGTACTGTATTAATAAATAATATGAGGGGTGATCAACTTTACACAGATGTTTTTTATACACCTCTTTGATTTTTTTGCCAGTGATACATCATTTATTATCCACCAACTCTGAAGGTTTGAAGATAAAACATGTGATATATTTTGATATATTTTTATTTCTGTGAAGGAGGTGTAGGTACCCCGGGACAAGGGTTGACAATGACACTGAAAAAATATAATAAATAGTACTGCTACTATGGCAGATGATTGATAAATCATCTGGTTACTATGGTATTGGTAACTAAAATGTCCTTACTTTGCACTCATCCTTTGTTGTGAGGTGAGCAGTTGCCGTAGTTCTGTAACATTATGACGATGACTGTCCTCAACACTCTGAAGCCGCACCTCAAATTCCCGATCCTTTAACTGGAGATCCTGCTCCATACATGACAACTGGAATTAAATAATTAAAAGAAATGTTGTCTCCCCTTTTTATTTTTTTGCCAGGAGGATTATCCTGAAACTAATGCCTCAGTCACAATTGATCTAAGGCAACTGTACGGCAGCAGTAGATCGAGATGGATATGAAGCCAGGCCCATAGCCAGGATTTGCCAAGGGGGTTCACTTTTAGAAAAATTCCAGGGGGGTTCGCTTTTGACAATTTTGGTCCAAAAATGGCCAAAATCACTTAAAAATTGCTCAGAATGGTGAAAAACTGCATGATTTTGAAAGGAATTTTGGCAAGGGGGGTCGCTCGAACCCATTGGGCCCCCCTGGCTACGGGCCTAGAAGCATAAAAAATACCTGTAGGGATAAGCAGTACAATGTAGATTTTCTATACAGATTTTGTGAAGCTCTGGCCACCGTACAGCTGTCATAGAGCAAATGTGACTGAGGGTTAACTCTTGGATTTTTTATAGATACAATTGCATGATTGGCAATACAAAGCAAATATTGTAAAATTGTGACATTTTTTAAAACTAAAGTGAAATAGAGAAAAAATAAATATCTTTCAAATAGATAGCGCTAGTTGTTTAAAGTAACAAAATTAAGAATTGATGTAACATCCCTGACCTCTTTATTGAATTTCCTTTCAGCCTGAGACTTTTCTTTTGTGAGTGTTTGGATCGAGCGCTTTAGTTCATCACTCTCTGAGAGAAATTTAAGGCGTTCATCATTGAGACTTTCGCACTCTCCCTGAATGTAGGTCAGCCTCTCTCTGAGTTGGGTAACTTGCGACTGAAGCTGTGAAGTTTCCTGAGTAAAACTGAAAATAAATACATGTAAATATATACCCTGAAAGTGAATCTATGGTGAAAGCTTTGTCATTTTGTATATCTCTAAAGATATAATATTTGTTTTAGATATCACAGACCAAGAGAAAGGAAGTACTGTATTAAGCTCAATATAGTATCTTCTATATTGAGGTTTATACTAGTTTTCCCTTGGCCTATGTTAGAATTTTCTTAAATGAGGCAAAACAAATAATTAAATCACTAGGATTCTATCATTGTAAAATGAAAACCATTCAATCCCATGTTCCTCCAAGTGAACAAATGAAATATAAAAACTTACTTTTTCTCTTTCCTATTTAGGGTGTTTTGTAGGGATTCAAGTTTCAACATAGCTTCCTCTTTTAATCTCTCTGCATTGCACATTCTTCTGGTGAGGTCATCTTGTGTCCCATACTCCTTGCTTCCCTGTACCAGTCCCTCCTGGTATATCTAGCAATAGGAAGAGGCAAAAAGATTAAAAAAAACTACATGTATGATTCATGGGAGGTTTCTTTTTAATCTCTCCGCATTGCACGTCCTTCTGGTACGTGAGGTCATCTTGTGTCCCATACTCCTTGCTTCCCTGCACCAATCCCTCCTGGTATATCTAGCAATAGGAAGAGGCAAAAAGATTAGAAAGCTACATGTATGATTCATGGGAGGTTTCCTTTTAATCTCTCCGCATTGCACATTCTTCTAGTGAGGTCATCTTGTGTCCCATACTCCTTGCTTCCCTGCACCAATCCCTCCTGGTATATCTAGCAATAGGAAGAGGCAAAAAGATTAGAAAGCTACATGTATGATTCATGGGAGGTTTCTTTTTAATCTCTCCGCATTGCAAATTCTTCTGGTGAGGTCATCTTGTGTCCCATACTCCTTGCTTCCCTGTACCAGTCCCTCCTGGTATATCTAGCAATAGGAAGAGGCAAAAAGATTAAAAAAAACTACATGTATGATTCATGGGAGGTTTCTTTTTAATCTCTCCGCATTGCACGTCCTTCTGGTACGTGAGGTCATCTTGTGTCCCATACTCCTTGCTTCCCTGCACCAATCCCTCCTGGTATATCTAGCAATAGGAAGAGGCAAAAAGATTAGAAAGCTACATGTATGATTCATGGGAGGTTTCCTTTTAATCTCTCCGCATTGCACATTCTTCTAGTGAGGTCATCTTGTGTCCCATACTCCTTGCTTCCCTGTACCAATCCCTCCAGGTATATCTAGCAATAGGAAGAGGCAAAAAGATAAGAAAGCTACATGTATGATTCATGGGAGGTTTCTTTTTAATTTCTCCGCATTGCACATCCTTCTGGTGAGGTCATCTTGTGTCCCATACTCCTTGCTTCCCTGTACCAATCCCTCCTGGTATATCTAGCAATAGGAAGAGGCAAAAAGATTAGAAAGCTACATGTATGATTCATGGGAGGTTTCTTTTTAATCTCTCCGCATTGCACATTCTTCTGGTGAGGTCATCTTGTGTCCCATACTCCTTGCTTCCCTGCACCAATCCCTCCTGGTATATCTAGCAATAGGAAGAGGCAAAAAGATTAGAAAGCTACATGTATGATTCATGGGAGGTTTCTTTTTAATCTCTCCGCATTGCACATTCTTCTGGTGAGGTCATCTTGTGTCCCATACTCCTTGCTTCCCTGTACCAATCCCTCCTGGTATATCTAGCAATAGGAAGAGGCAAAAAGATTATAAAACTACATGTATGATTCATGGGAGGTTTCTTTTTAATCTCTCCGCATTGCACATCCTTCTGGTGAGTTCATCTTGTGTCCCATACTCCTTGCTTCCCTGTACCAATCCCTCCTGGTATATCTAGCAATAGGAAGAGGCAAAACGATTATAAAACTACATGTATGATTCATGGGAGGTTTCTTTTTAATCTCTCCGCATTGCACATCCTTCTAGTGAGTTCATCTTGTGTCCCATACTCCTTGCTTCCCTGCACCAATCCCTCCTGGTATATCTAGCAATAGGAAGAGGCAAAAAGATTAGAAAGCTACATATGTACATGTATGATTCATGGTAGGTTTCTTTTTAATCTCTCCGCATTGCACATTCTTCTGGTGAGGTCATCTTGTGTCCCATACTCCTTGCTTCCCTGCACCAATCCCTCCTGGTATATCTAGCAATAGGAAGAGGCAAAAAGATTAGAAAGCTACATGTATGATTCATGGGAGGTTTCTTTTTAATCTCTCCGCATTGCACATTCTTCTGGTGAGGTCATCTTGTGTCCCATACTCCTTGCTTCCCTGCACCAATCCCTCCTGGTATATCTAGCAATAGGAAGAGGCAAAAAGATTAGAAAGCTACATGTATGATTCATGGTAGGTTTCTTTTTAATCTCTCCGCATTGCACATTCTTCTGGTGAGGTCATCTTGTGTCCCATACTCCTTGCTTCCCTGCACCAATCCCTCCTGGTATATCTAGCAATAGGAAGAGGCAAAAAGATTAGAAAGCTACATGTATGATTCAAGGGAGGTAAATATCTCATCAAAGTGTTTTCCGGAATTTCTAGCAATAGGAAGAGGCAAAAAGATTAGAAAACTACATGTACGATTCATGGGAGGGAAATATCTCACCAACATTTTTTCCAAAATGTTTCTTTTGACAAAAATTGAAAATTATGTACGACAAAAATAAACATCCTCTTTATGATGTATTTTGTTTTGCCTTTTTACATTTGCCTAGCCTATTTTTGGATCCTGTCTTTGTCTCTAGTATCCCAAAATTCATAACTTTTTTTGTTTTCTCCAGGGCCAATCAAAGTATAAAACATTTCCCACATAAACTGACAATTCCAAAAATCAATATCTTCAATATTTCTAAAGTTTGGATTCTCATTTTGTACACGTAAACAAGAAAAATGTGCTCATGAAGAAGGAAAATTGCACCGATGAAACAGAAAATTGTTAACAAGAAGAAAATTTTAAGAAATTTAATCAAAATTATGAAAGCGCATGTTGACCCCTACATCCCCTGACAATCTGTACACCAGCCAGTTCAGTCAACATTTAAGGACTAGATGAACAAGATCTAACCTTCTCTAATTCTGACTCTACTGCACGTTTCTCTCTTACTGCCCTCTCTAACTGGGCCTGTTTCTCTCCCGCTTCAGTCTCCATATTCTCCAACTCTTCCATTAGTTTACCAATATTCTTGTTACACTGGGCTCTGACTGCATCAACCTGAAGATGAACAAAAGTAATATTAAATATAAATACCATATTCAACTCTTCCATTAGTTTACCAATGTTCTTGTTACACTGGGCTCTGACTGCATCAACCTGAAGATGAACAAAAGTAATATTAAATATCAATACCATATTCAACTCTTCCATTAGTTTACCAATATTCTTGTTACACTGGGCTCTGACTGCATCAACCTGAAGATGAACAAAAGTAATATTAAATATAAATACCATATTCAACTCTTCCATTAGTTTACCAATGTTCTTGTTACACTGGGCTCTGACTGCATCAACCTGAAGATGAACAAAAGTAATATTAAATATCAATACCATATTCAACTCTTCCATTAGTTTACCAATATTCTTGTTACACTGGGCTCTGACTGCATCAACCTGAAGATGAACAAAAGTAATATTAAATATAAATACCATATTCAACTCTTCCATTAGTTTACCAATGTTCTTGTTACACTGGGCTCTGACTGCATCAACCTGAAGATGAACAAAAGTAATATTAAATATAAATACCATATTCAACTCTTCCATTAGTTTACCAATGTTCTTGTTACATTGGGCTCTGACTGCATCAACCTGAAGATGAACAAAAGTAATATTAAATATAAATACCATATTCAACTCTTCCATTAGTTTACCAATGTTCTTGTTACACTGGGCTCTGACTGCATCAACCTGAAGATGAACAAAAGTAATATTAAATATAAATACCATATTCAACTCTTCCATTAGTTTACCAATGTTCTTGTTACACTGGGCTCTCACTGCATCAACCTGAAGATGAACAAAAGTAATATTAAATAAAAATACCATATTCAACTCTTCCATTAGTTTACCAATGTTCTTGTTACACTGGGCTCTGACTGCATCAACCTGAAGATGAACAAAAGTAATATTAAATATCAATACCATATTCAACTCTTCCAGTAGTTTACCAATGTTCTTGTTACATTGGACTCTCACTGCATCAACCTGAAGATGAACAAAAGTAATATTAAATATCAATACCACATTCAACTCTTCCATTAGTTTACCAATGTTCTTGTTACATTGGGCTCTCACTGCATCAACCTGAAGATGAACAAAAGTAATATTAAATATCAATACCACATTCAACTCTTCCATTAGTTTACCAATGTTCTTGTTACACTGAGCTCTCACTGCATCAACCTGAAGATGAACAAAAGTAATATTAAATATAAATACCATATTCAACTCTTCCATTAGTTTACCAATGTTCTTGTTACATTGGGCTCTCACTGCATCAACCTGAAGATGAACAAAAGTAATATTAAATATCAATACCATATTCAACTCTTCCATTAGTTTACCAATGTTCTTGTTACACTGGGCTCTCACTGCATCAACCTGAAGATGAACAAAAGTAATATTAAATAAAAATACCATATTCAACTCTTCCATTAGTTTACCAATGTTCTTGTTACACTGGGCTCTCACTGCATCAACCTGAAGATGAACAAAAGTAATATTAAATATAAATACCATATTCAACTCTTCCATTAGTTTACCAATGTTCTTGTTACATTGGGCTCTCACTGCATCAACCTGAAGATGAACAAAAGTAATATTAAATATCAATACCATATTCAACTCTTCCATTAGTTTACCAATGTTCTTGTTACACTGGGCTCTCACTGCATCAACCTGAAGATGAACAAAAGTAATATTAAATATCAATACCATATTCAACTCTTCCATTAGTTTACCAATATTCTTGTTACACTGGGCTCTCACTGCATCAACCTGAAGATGAACAAAAGTAATATTAAATATCAATACCATATTCAACTCTTCCAGTAGTTTACCAATGTTCTTGTTACATTGGACTCTCACTGCATCAACCTGAAGATGAACAAAAGTAATATTAAATATCAATACCATATTCAACTCTTCCATTAGTTTACCAATATTCTTGTTACACTGGGCTCTCACTGCATCAACCTGAAGATGAACAAAAGTAATATTAAATATCAATACCATATTCAACTCTTCCAGTAGTTTACCAATGTTCTTGTTACATTGGACTCTCACTGCATCAACCTGAAGATGAACAAAAGAAATATTAAATATAAATACCATATTCAACTCTTCCATTAGTTTACCAATGTTCTTGTTACACTGAGCTCTCACTGCATCAACCTGAAGATGAACAAAAGTAAAAAGAAGTTATTCACCAGGAGGGATTTAATATGGGGAATATCACAAGGGAGGAGGGATATTCCTCATATCATCTCGACAGGTGAATAATGACTTTATACCATGGTCAAGAGCAATATCTACCCAAAGTCCTCTGTTGAATCAAGAATGAGAGAAAAAATGTTCTTGTAACATTTGGTTCTCACTGCATCAACCTGAAGATGATCAAACATAAAAAGAAGTTATTCACCAGGAGGGATTTAATATGGGGAATATCACAAGGGAGGAGGGATATTCCTCATATCATCTCGACAGGTGAATAATGACCTTATACCATGGTCAAGAGCAATATCTACCCAAAGTCCTCTGTTGAATGACAGAAAAAATGTTTGACTGACTTAGGAATGTCAAAGTAACATATTATCCTGTCCTAACGTGCATTAATTTAAGGAAAAAGAAAGATGTATTATACTTAATTTATATTTATATATTATACCGATATTGCTCTGACAATGGTATAATATGAAATATCAATACCATTTTCACATGGCTTCTATCATATCATAAATATCTTATGCTGTACTCATTGTCTTAAAAGGACTGCACCTGATATCATACTGCATCTACTCTTGTATTATATTGCATGTCTATCATATTGCATGTTATATTGCATCCTGCATAAACTAGACAACAGCAACGCCAAAGCGTAGCAAATCCCATCGAACAGCCATTGAACAGAATGTGGCCATTTTTCAAAATGGCCACATTCTACAAAAAGTTAGACAGTGTACCATGCTTAAAGTATTCACATACCAAATATGAACAAAATTGCTCCGCTACTTTTCGAGTAATAGTTAAATATGTTAAAATGGTGGCCATTTTGAAAAATGGCTGCCTTCTACCAAAAGTGTCATTAGAGAGTGTGCCATGCTTATAGTATTCACTTACAAAATATGAACAAAATCGCTCCCCTACTTTTCGAGTTACAGCAAAAATCGTAAAATAGCAAGTAAAGGCCACCATTTTTCAAGATGGCTGCTATGTGCTTCTTTAAGATCTACATTTCTAGCTTTATTAAGGTCCTACATATTTTTTTTTAAATTTAAAACATATTGCTATTACAGTTTTACATATTGTTCGAGCAGATCTCCTACCCCCCCCAATAGGGTATATGTTTACAAAATATGAACAAAATTGGGCCAACAGTATTTGAGTTATTGCCCGGACGGACAGAAAGACGGACGGATGTACGTACGGACGGAGGCGTTCTCTATATTCCATCATATACAGAGGCGTAGCTAGCCCATTTTGCGAGTGTACGCCCGTATGATTTCCCGGTTTTATCAAAATTAACAAAACGATGGTTCCATAAAATAGGAAGATCCCGGGTGTTCAGAAGATATGGCACACACTAAACACTCTTAATTCAATGAAGGAAATATGTATTGTTTGATCATTTTGACATAGCTTTTTAGAGGGATTGAATTAACTGTATTAACAGATAATATTTGGGAAACAAAATAGACAGATTCTATATAATCATGCCATCGGCGATTGAAGCCGTCTATCAAGGCGATTCTATTTTTTAGGCTACCTAAAACTGTATGTATGAGGCTCATTGTTTTAAGCTTTTGTGGTCATTCTCCATGAAATATTATTATTTTTTCTGTGTTTGTTTTTATCTAGCTCACAAGATGATAAACAATAAAAGAACAGTTGCACGACCGTCTCAACTCCAATTCGGATCTTAACAATCTGTACGTGATTCTATAGAAAAAATTTTATCTTTCTGTTTTTTGCATTTTTGCATTTTCGAACATGTCAATAACAGTATCAATGTTTATATCCTGTTCCCTATGGATATGTATCATGGCCAAGGAAGAAAGTCTTTCCTCGTTCATTGTGGAACGCAAGTATGACTTAATGAATAACAATCAACGGGATCAACGCCGGGAGCTCTTGCTGGGGCCGCCATTGAAGAATACACAACAACAATGTCAACTCAACCGAAACGAAATAAAATTCTCTAATTATCAGTAGCTAACTGATTCAAAACAAAGAAAATGAAATAATCGAGGACTGTTTTATTTATTAACACGAGTCTTCATAGATCTATCGATTTCTATCTCTTGGTAAAATATTTATTTTTCATCACAATTAATCAGGTAAATTTTATTTTTCCTTAAAATTTGAGAGTACGCCTGGGCGTACTTGGCGTACACGTAGCTACACCATTGATATATCACATTTCATCTCATAATTATACAGTAAAATAATAATGAATCTGTTACTTTATATTCATATTTTGTAATTAATCAAACATTGTCATAAGTGGTTGATAAGTCTTAAGTGGGCTGGACTTGACATAAAGGTCTATTTTTTATGATCATATGTATAAAATAATGAATAAAAACAACAAACAGTACCTCCTTTCTTGTTTTAATCCCAGCCTCATTAAGGATATTATTCAGAGCCTGCTGGAGACGTTGTACCTCTTCTGTTTGCTGCTGCTCATGTATAATACACTGGTCCTTCTCAAGAATAGCATTCTCCGTCATCTGTATGCTTTCTCTAAGTTGTATCACAGCCTCCTGCTCTCTCTGCTCCAGCTCAGCACTGAAAATATTGAGAAGAAAACATGAAATACTTGCGTTGGTGTATAGAAAATGAGGGTTCACATTAGAATTTCAACAAGGCATTAACATGCCAAATGTCACAACATGCCATTTGTTAAAGACACCGACCACCAGACACCGACCGCCAGACACCAACCGCCAGACACTACCACCAAATACTTTCACAAAAAATGGAGACCATAAAAATATGTACTCCAACGAGTAGCTTAAATTCCACCAAACAAAACATTTTTGATAAATAGGGGCCATCTTGAAAATTTCTTCTTGAACAGAGCTCCTTTTACCTGGCATCATATCAGCTTATAAAAATTGAACCAAATCCGTAAAGCAATATTTGGGTTATTAAAGATTACATTTTTAATAACAAATGTTGGCCATTTTGATGAAGTGGTCATCTTGTAATATTCTTCTTTAAGCAGGGTCCTTATCTCCAGGCATCAGCATATAAAATTTGAACCCAAACCATCCTGGTATATATGAGTTTTAAATATTATTTTACGAAAAATGGTGGCCATTTTGAGATTAAACTGTCATCTTGGAAATGTCTTCTTGAGCAAAGCTCCTCTGTCTCTAGGCATCAGCATGTAAAATTTGAACGAAATCAGTGTCTACCACTCAACTGGTATTTGAGTTATCAAAGATTATGTTATTTTAAACAAATTTCGGCCATTTTGAAATTTAGCTGTCATCTTGAAAGTTCCTTCTTGAACAGAGCTCCTGTGCTCCTGTTTTTAAGCAAAGCCCTAAGTCCCAAGGTGTCAACATGTAAAATCCAAACCAAATCTGCCGACTAGTATTTGAGTTACTGTATCAAATAATCCTTTTTTTACGAAAAATGGCAGCCATTTTCAATTGACTGCCCATATTGAAAATTCCTTCCCGAGCAAAGGTCCTACACCCATAAGGCATAATAAGCATATGGAATTTTCACCAGATCCATCAACTGGTACTTGAGTTATCGCCTGGGCAAATGAACTAAGAGACGTTAGGACGAATGGATTCTCTATATCCCTACCATGTTCACTCAATAGAATGAAAACAGGTTAATTGTTCCTCATCAAATATCTCTTTAATCTGGTTCCCAACTTCGTGACATTTTCAATTTTCAATTCATTAATCTTTGGAATTAATAATGAATCCGATATCAAAATTACTTAGAATTGTTTTTTGATTCCCTCAGCAACAGCTGAGGTAGGGATTTTAATTAACAAAATATCATTCTTGATATATTAAAAACATATACGAAATTATAAGTCCTTTCATTCCATATCGAATAATAAAAAAAGTAGGAGACAAAGTTGGCAAAATGAATTTCTACAGGGTGGTCCAAAAAAATTGGAACATTTGTTAATTGAACATGAAACCTTTATTTTTCCTCTGAAATGCACCAAAATTTTACTGAGCATAGTTCAGTCACTTGTTTATCTGATGTAAAGTTTATACATTGTTGTTTGCACCTTTAAACTTTATATCAGATAGTGACTGAACTATGCTCAGTTAAAGTTTGGTGCATTTTAGAAGAAAAATAAAGGTTTGCGTTCACTTATCAAATGTTCCAATTTTTTTGGACCACCCTGTAATTGCAATTTTAAGTCTCTCTTATTTTCCAGAAGAAAATATATGAAACCAGAATAAGAATTGCTATTGACGCTCATCAACATTATAACTAACAATGGCAATTTGCACTATGAAGGTATGTATATTCAATTTATATGAATTGCAAAGGACATGCATAAGTGATTGAGTCCATTAATATTATAATTTTCATTTTAACAGGTCAAGTTACAGCATTTAATAATTCAGATGTGAGTAGGTGGTTACCAGTTTCACCACCTGGTGGCTAATTCTAATAATTATATAAATGAAAATATGTTCAGTAAAACGAAATATTATCTGTCCAATAAAAGAAGTCACATTTTCAAAGAAAATTAAAGTTTGCAGATGTAGTTTTACATGTAGATTTCAAATATGATATGACTTAATTTTGAAAACTTAATGGTGTAAATCAAGATTATTTCTATTCACATCTACTCGTACATAGTCTATTGCAGATATTTAGGCTGCATTTTTTTAACTGTCCATGGCGATAGCAAATCGGGCAGCACTTTATGAGCCTACTCAGTAGTAGGAATCATGAAAAAATCAATAAGCCCCTGTGATGCAAATTACATGCTAACATGTTTTCAACAAAAACAGTTCATCCAAGCATACTTACATCACTTAATAGCGTTGTTTAAACCTTCTCAGGCACAACAGCATTGGCTAGTCGCTGATGAACCACAGAAGTTCTATTGAATAAACGGATGTGTCTTTCAAAAGAATTATGGGAGTGTAAGTACACCTGGATGAACCGTATCTGTTGAAAACATGTGACCATGCAATTTGCACCTTGAGGCCCATTGATCCCTCTTGTGGCACCCACAGGGAAAATTCACTAAACACCAACCAATCCACCTGCACCACAGGCAGTACAAATGCAAACTAAACAGTACTAAACAGAACTCTGTTATCTTTGTTCAAAAATTGTCTAAAAATGCATTTTTTGTCACTTCCTGTTTTGTCATTTCCTGTTAAGTGTCATGACACCTTAAAATGGTGGCCATTTTTCAAAATGGCCACCTTCTACCAAAAGTGTCATTAGAGAGTGTCCCATGCTTATAGTATTCACATACCAAATATGAACAAAATCGCTCCACTACTTTTCAAGTTATGGTAAAATATGTTAAAATGGCGGCCATTTTTCAAAATGGGCGCTTTCTACCAAAAGTGTCATTAGACAGTGTGCCATGCTTATAGTAATACCAAATACCAAATATGAACAAAATAGCTCTACTGCTTTCTGAGTTACAGCAAAAATCGTAAAATAGAGAGTAAAGGCCGCCATTTTTCAAGATGGCTGCCATGTGTTTCGTTTATATCTACATTTCTAGCTTTATTAATGTCCTTTATAATTTTTTTACATTTAAAACATAGATGTACTGTAGGGTTCAGTTAGACATACAGTGTATCTAGGTTATAATATTGATTCTGTTTTACCCACTTGATTTATACTGCAATTTTGAATTGCCCCCAGCAGTGGTGCATTGCGTAATAAGTAATGAGATTTCCCCCCAGGTATCAAGAAAAAGAACAAAAAGCCTGTGGCCCAAATTACATTGTCCCATGTTTTCAACAAAAATCTCATCCAAGCGCACTAACACTCAAATAATTCTTTTGAAAGACATCATGGTTTATTGCAATTGAACTCCTGTGGTGCACTAGCAACAAGCCGACGCAGTTGACATACGCTGTTACCGAGTAAGTTTAACACATCATAATTAGCGGTGTAAGTGCGCTTGGATGAACTGCTTTTATTGAAAACATGTGAGCATGTAATTAATTTGCAACGCATGGGCTCATTGTTCTTTTTCGTGATACCTGAGGGAAACATATTATATATTATACTATGCACTCACCCGCAGATAGTTCAAAAATGCAGCCTTTTTTTTAAAATTTATTGTCAAACAGCCTTACATTTGTATCATTTCAGAGTGTGTTGTTGGTGGTGTGTCTTCTTGTAAAAGGTGGGACTCCCTTGCAAAATAGCAAAGATATAGTGATGCGTGGGAACAACATCACAATAGTAACACATGGAATGTTCAGTAATGCCACAAATATGGTATACTTGGATCTTAGCAACAACAAAATATCAGAGATTAAAGCTGGAGCATTTTCAGGTCTGAAATCATTGCAAATACTTTACTTGAGAGGAAACAATCTTAAAATCTTAAAAACAGGAATTTTTAATGACCTGTTATCCCTTTGGTATATTCATCTACAAGCAAATGAAATGTCAGAGATAGAAACTGGTGCATTTTCAGGTTTGGTATCATTGCATACCCTTTCCCTTCAGGGAAACAAACTTCCAGTCTTAAAAAATGGAATATTCAAGAGCCTTAAATCTTTAGAAGTACTCAACCTTTACGACAATGACATTTCAGAGATTGAAGCAGGGACTTTTCTCGGTTTGCAAGCATTAAAAACACTCAAATTGCAAGGAAACAAATTTAAAATTTTGACAAAGGGAATATTCAAAAACCTTAAATCCTTGAACCACCTTAATCTTGCAAAAAACATAATATCAATAATAGAATCAGATGCATTTTATGACTTGCAATCATTAAATTCATTAATGTTATTTTCTAATAAACTGACAAATGTGACAGGTGGGATGTTCAAAAAATTATCCTCTCTAACGAGCATTGACCTTACAGCAAATAAAATATCAGAAATAGAACCTGGGTCTTTTTCGAGTATAAAACAGTGTCTTCACTTATATTTGAGTCAGAATAAACTTAAAAAACTTTGTTCTGGCATGTTCAGCGGTATGCTTGGATTACAATATTTATATATGACTTACAATGAAATAACACAAGTTGAATCTGGTGCATTTTCGGGCCTTGATAACCTTGAATATCTTTATCTAAATAACAATAACCTGCATAAAATACCAACTGATATATGCGAACATTTATCAAATTTAGAATATTTAGACATTGGAAGTAACAACATCACATCTGCCCTCTCTGAATACATAAGTAGTAATGAAATAAGGGAACTATGTTCAATCATGAAACCCAAATCAGATCTTACACATGTCAAAACTGGAATGCCATTTGTCAACACTACAGTTTCAGCGTTTCAAACAAGACAACCATTGATTTGGATAGTATGTGGATGCTCAGTTTTCAGACTGTTTACAACAACTTGAGAGTGCCTGACATATGGTACTACAAAGGCAAATTATATCGGTTCCAATACAAGCTAGATCGAGGCTCAAAATTATGAGCCAGTATGGACAAAAAAGAGCACACTCCCTATACAGGCAAGTATGGGGCCTGTAATTATAAGTTAGGGTTGCCGTAAAAGCATGTACAAAGATTGTCATGTTAAATTTGAAGCCTGTATTAGCATTTACGTGGCTCATCATTTTAAATTCTA